GAAGAACTTATATAACAGAAAAAAAAAAGTAGTCTTCTGACATCTTGCACATTTAAAAAACTAGAGAGACAATATGATAATTGTTATATTGTTTGTTTTCAACAGAATTTTCTGAATGAAAAAATAAATGTCAATTAAAACTTGAAATGGCGATATTTCGATTTTGTCTGTGTGTGTGTGTGTGTGATAGTACAGTAGTTTGAAAAACGTGACACATCTTTGAAACGTCTCTCGAAAGAACCTTTAAAAATTACGATAAGTTTCGGATTTACAGTGCTAAAGTCCGGGGTTCGATTTCTCGCGGTAGACGGAGCACAGATAGTTCGTTCTGTAGTTCTGCGCTAAAAACCAAGAACAGTGTTTAAAAATTACGAAAACATCGAATTAAATCGCTGCCCTGTTAGATGAACTTTCGTTTAATCTAGGTTTAAATACCCTGATATTGGATTCATTCAAATTCATCAATTAAAAAAACAACAACACGAAATGAAGTCGTTTTCAGAACCCGCGTCTGTTATTCAGTTAGAGGGCGCTCGAGGTGGTGCTATGTTACGTCAGAAGCGACTTGGTTCAGGTGCTATACCACAACACGAACAGCCTTGAAGAATGGCGAATTGGCTTGACCTTCTTTTCCAGTGAAAGTCAGTATGTCGATGAACCACTGACAGAGTGCCTTTGAAATCCAGTTTTACTGGATCCTGTTCCTCCTCCTCCCTCTATTCGTAACGCGGATCGCGAGGCCGCTTACACGTTATGCGAATCGTTGGACTAGACAGAATCTGTCTGTCCAGACATCTAGCGTCAGAGCATGTGGTGTGCGCCGCCGAGTTTGTTCCATTATTACGTGATAATGTACTGCTTCACGAGGGCTGTTTAGTAACCCCGATATATATATCCCTGTTTATGCGTATTCTGTGTGTAGATTCATTGTAGAATTAATTATAACTTCCGGACAGACTTTTCATAATAAGCTAACTATTTAGAAAAGATTTTGAAATAAACCCGGTAATGAGTTTGGATAAATAAAACATATCCTGTTCCATCAGTTGGATAAACACTCTCATCACTCTTAGTGGTGTTTTCGACCGTAAACCCAATAATATCTTTTGAGTTTTAAATTAATATGTTAATCTAACACTGCAAAAACTGAAGAGTTCCTTTGTACGATTTCGATTAGCACCTCTGTTAAAAGAGTTTCGTTTCCGGAAAGGAATAGTAATCGAAATCTCGATGTATTTTGATAAAACACTTGTTTGTGTTCACAAACTTACCAATTTATTGACCGGACCTTTCCTCCCTAACAGAGCCTTACTTTTCTGCGATTTGTTTTGTCAAACAGTTGTCTTTTGGTTTTGTTTTTCTCACCTTTTGAAAAGACCTTTTATGTAGGGATATAATTGCAATATGAAGCATGTTGCTCATATGACGTAACATAAAACCCTTGTTAATGCTGTACCACCAGCAAGACAAGCGCCAAATATCGCTGTGAATGTTGAGGTATTGTTGGGTTTACTGCTGATAACACCGCCAGTATTGGAAGTGCGTAACTGGTGTCCTTATGAAAATCTACTAGGTGTGTGTGTGTGTATCGGAAGAAGACGAATGATACACGTGGGGTGTATAAATAGTAATGCATGTGAAAGTAAAGGTGTGGGTGTGTAGTGGGAACAGTAGCGGTTATCTATGAGGACCAAAACAAAAACGGAGTTTCTATTTCAAAATTTGAAATTTTGATTCTTCTATTTTTTTCGAAAATAAATATCGGAGAGTGTTAAAACATTTTCTATGTAGGGATGGCACGGATGTCAGTATTAAAGTAAAACAAAAATCATCTGGATTGTCTTCTCTTCAGGTCATCAGAAGTTAGATATGAAAAGATACCTGGTATATTCATAAGATGTCTTAATTTCGTTCATCATCATGTTTCTTCAACAGGCCTAGCGCCTACCTAATTCTAACTGTAACTATAATTTTATCATTATTTGATAGAACAAAACAGTCTTTACGATATCTGACTACCTATTATATTATTATTATTATATGCAAAATTTATAAAGCTTTAGAATACACTCTATAACCTAGCAACCCACGTGCGCCATCTTATAAAAAATAAATAAACAAGTATAAGGAAAATATTTATCGTTAAATACAAAAGCTATGTAGGACTGGCTACTGAACTTGATAAAGAAAGAACCAAACAAGATAGTGATTGAAGTGGACATATCACTTGATCCGGTTGATGATAACATAGCAGACTAAACTGTCGCTATTTTACTTTGAAAATAAAGTCTTTATATTACTGGCTTCCTCACTGGCTAAACAAAGAGAACCATAATTTCCAATCGTAAAATGTTACTCTATTTTAAAATAGTCATCAAAGTCTAAAGTTAATATCCTTGTCGATAGACAAAGTGGGGAAGCCAGTAATATAAGGATTTTATTCTCCATATAAAGTCGAGACAACTTAGTCTGCTATGTTATCATCAGCCGGATCTAGTGGCATATCCTCCTCCATCCTTATCTTGTTTGGTTACTTTTTTTATCAAGGTCAGTAGCCAGTCCTACATAGCTTTTTTTTTATTTAGCGATATTCCCCCCTCCCTTCCCCTAATACTTGTGTATTGTATAGTGTCACTAGTTAGTGAATAACAATACCCCTCGTGTATAAGTGATATCTGATATTTCTGGTTCATTGAAGACCGCTCCCCCTGGCGAAAAGAAGTTTGTAAGGTACCTCTGTGTGATTATCATTGGCTCTCTACTTGTGCACCTGGTGTATAATGTACAGTTTTACAGATGTTTATAAACTGTGAAGATCAACCACACAAACATACTTTCTTTACAAAATTCCTGCTTCTAAGAATAGTATAAATATATATTTATGTGACACGAGCTGCGGCGTGTTTTATAAATGTGAAATTCGCATCGAAGAATGTATGATTACGACGGGGGCTCGCGCCCCAAGTTTCTTAGTTCTAGTTAGTATGAAATATTTTACCTTTT